GGGTTTGAACCGCCAGCCTTCTGGTGAGCAGTCAAGTGCTTTTAGCCACTATGCTACCAGAGCTCCCTGGTTACTATAGACAAGAGGTTTACCAACCATATTTCATAGTGAAATACATGGCTACCTAAGCATTTTGGTTGAGAAGCTTATCTCATTCATTGTACTTTTTTTTCCCCCCCCACTCAAAAGTATTATATGTTCCATGAAAAAAAAAGCTAGAAAACATCAATTAACTAAGATAAAACTACTACCACATCACTACTCTGAAAAAATTACTATGTACTGTGTATGCCTTTTGCATATCGTATCAATGAGTGGACTTGTTCATGGGCAAACTGGTATTATAATGTATGTACTATATATGACTCATCTCTCAGTTTGTCATACTGTGGTGTTTTGCATGTTGCAGACAGGGTGGAAGCTATGTCACTGGTATTTCAAATACCAGCAGGGACACTAACGGTGGACAGATTTCCATGGAGCTTCCAGACTAGGACAGACTGAGAACAAGGATGGGGCCATCCACTTCTGAAAAAATTGGCCATGGAAAACCTTATGAATAGCAGTGAAATGCTGTTTGATATAACTGAAAAACATTATGAACAGCTGTGATACATGGTCTGCGATAGGATCAGAATATGAGTCCCTGAGATTGAGTTGTTGTTGTTGTTGCTATTAAGTGCCATCAAGTCATCTCCGAATCATAGTGACCTATGTACAATAGAATGAAACACTGCTCGGTCCTGTGCCAGTTTCACAATCCTTGCGATACCTGAGCCCACTGTTGCAGCCACTGTGTCAATCCATCTTGTTGAGGGGCTTCCTCTTTTTCGCTGACCCTCCACTGTACCAAGCATGATATCCTTCTCCAGGGAATGGTCCCTTCTGACAACATGACCAAAGTAGGTAAGATGAAATCTGGCCATTCTGGCTTCCAAGGAGCTTTCTGACTGTACTTATTCCAGGACAGATTTGTTAGTTCTTTTGGCAGTCCATGGTATTTTCAGTATTCTTTGCCAACACCACAATTCAACAGCAACAACTCTTCTTCAGTCTTCCTATTTACTGTCCAGTTCTCATATACATATAAGGCAGTTGGAAATACCATGGCTTGGGTTAGGCACACCTTAGTCTTTTTTTTTTTTTTTTTTAGGCACACCTTAGTCTTCAAGGAGATATTTTTGCTCTTCAGCACATGAAAGAGATCTTTTGCAGCAGATCTGCTCAGTGAAATATGTCATCTGATGTCTTGACTGCTGTTTCATTGGTGTTGATTGTGGAACCAAGTAATATGAAGTCTTTGACAACTTCAATCTTTTCTCCATTTATCATGATGCTCCTTGCTGGTCCAGTTGTGAGGAGTTTTCTTTATGTTGAGGTCCTGAGATTGAAAGGCACTCAAAACATGACTGGGGAAAGGCTGCTCCCTCAAAGTAGAGTTGACCTGAATGATATGGATCAGGTAAAGCTTTTTTTATTTTTTTTATTTATTGTGATTTGGGTGAAGATTTACAGAGCAAATTCACTTTCCACACAGCAGTTCACATATACTTTGTCTCATTGACCAAAATTTACAATGCAACAGCTCCCTTCCCACTTCCTCCCCATAGTTACCTCTTCCCAGTGACCATCCCTCCATACTCTCTTGCACCCTGAGCAGTCTCCCTGTGCATAAGCAGCCCTTCCTTCTCCCATAATTGTTCTCTCCAGGGTGTGTGTCTACTTGAGGTAAATGTTTAACTCACATGCCTGTACACTGTTTGGCTGGAAACCACAGGTATGGGTTCA